GGCCTGTCCATGGTGTTGGCAGCCTGTGTGGTTTTCAGCTACTGCCTATCCTACAAGGAGCTCAAACATGAGCGGTTACGGAAATAGCACGGAGGAAGCTGTAGCGAAGCTGCGACAAGAGTGCCGCTGCTTTCCTGGCCTGGCCACTTGCCCTGCCCCTTCCCCTGGCAAGAGCCCTTGAGAGTGTGCCCAATAAAAGAAGACAGATAAAAAAAAAGTTCTTTAAAGTGTTCAAAATCAAAGATGTCACTTGGAGGACTAGAGCACACCCCACCCACCAAGACGTGGTCTTTGTAATTGCTTCATATGCATGTACAAGCTGGACAATGTCCAAGGAAGATCAAAGAAGAATCCATGCATTTGGATTACAGTGCTGATCAAGACTATTGGAATGACCCGGACTACTAGGACAACAGACACATTGGTCTTGCAGGAAGCACAGCCGGGAGGCTCCTTCCAAGCCAGGTGGGTGAGACTTCTCCTCATGAACTTTGGACAGGTCACCAGGAGAAACCAACCCCCGGAAAAAGAGATCGTGTTTTTTCAAGTGCACGTTTCTAAGGGAGAGGAAGACCCTCCTCGGGATGGTGTGACACAGAGACTACAGCAACAGCTCAAGCATAACAGCAATTGTGACGGTGGCACGGGCCAGCCGGACAGGGTTTCAGCCGCTACCCCGGGGTGGCTAGGAGTCAGAAACAGTTTGGCAGCACCTAACAACCAAATGGATGTGTTCTACACTCTCCTGTCTCAAATTTCTTTGGGATGGACATAGCTCTCTGAATGAACATTATGACTACTTAAAGCATGTCATAACTGTGTTATCACACACACATCCCGATTCATGGACTTGGCAACTTTAAGTGAGAAAATCTTATCTCTCTGATGACCATGGCTAAATGAGACAAGACATAGGAACTCGGGGGGAAGATGCTGGGGGGTGCAAAGAGCTTTTGTGGAGAAGGAATGGCTGAGACATATTTATTTCAGACATATTTTATTTTAGGGTTTCTACTGGATTTTCCCATTTATATCTCCACAGGCAGCTCAAACACACTTTAGAACTCATAATCTACTAATTTTGCTTTCAAAAAGCCTCTCTATTTTTCATCGCTTTCTCACTACCCTTACAGTCTTGTTTGTAATTCATGTCCCACCAGGAGCTTCTAACATTTTTCAGTCTAGCTTGAAGGCTGCCAAGAGATTTATCTGCCTGAAAGACAAATCTAATTATCTTTTTTTCCTATTCAAAAATTTGCATTGGCTCTTTTGATTGAAACTATCATTTGTCTGGTAGAATGTGCTACAAAAATATTTCCATTTTTACAGAAGGACTATGAAAACTGAAAAACAAAACCTCACATGGTTCACTAAAAAGAAATTAGATGAACAAAAAGCTATAATTGCTTTATTTACATTGAAACCATTGGAGCTTGTGTAGGAAAAATAAATAAATTTTTGCCCTATCTTATTAAAAGATCAATCGTGCTCATCTAAAAGTAGGTAAGATAACACTTATTTTTCTCCTTGAGATGTAGTCAATTAATATGTCCCTTCTAGTCATAATCCTTTTATGAAGAATTATGATTCTGGACTCTATGCCTGTGGCTATAATCCCATTTTGGAAGCTTTCTCTGTTATATTAAAGGATAGGATTAAGGTGGGATTAAGCCCTGACTTTAGTAGAGGGGGTGACCTTGTTCAATTACCTTGGGGTTCCTTGGGGCTAGGGGCTGTTGGAAGACAAAAGCCACACTTCTAAGTCATTCCTCAGTGTATAAAACCCATCATGGTCCCAGAGAGGAATCCCAAGATGATTGGAGGAAAATGCTCCAGATTTCTGTCTGAAGTCATGGAAGCAGACCAGAGACCTGAGACTGTGGCACGGAGACTATGAGACCGAATTGGGAGCAGTGTTGAGGTGATGCGACTGTGAGCTAGAGAGACAGGCTGGCTTCCTGGTCCACAGAGAAGAAACTAACAGACCACGTGGGTGAGAGACTGAGGGATGGAAAGAGACTTAGCTGCTGCCTGAGGAGATATCTTGATGTGGACCATTTAATGTATCCTGGCTTGCTCATCTTGACTGGTGGTAGCCTGTTACCGTAACTTCCCTAATACCCTTCCAGAATTGTGAGTTCTGCCTGTGAGTTCTGCTGACATTGCGGCTAGCAGCTCAACACATCACCACTACACCATCAGGGCTCCTGCCTCAGGAATGCAGAGACAATAATAGGGAAAGGACAAGGTGGTTTTTAATAAAAGTTGACTTTGCTGTGGGACTAGAAGTGGGCCGGAGGTTGCAGCAAGAGGAAATAGCAGGGGTGCTGCCCAGGGAATTTCTATCAGAGGGGCCACCTTGCCATCCAGGAGTCTTTCTATGGGAACATGGAGCGGATGAAAGACGTAGAGATAGAGAAGCCATAAGCAAAACATAGTTTAATTTTCGTGGTATGCACTTGAGAAAGGGTGATAACTTTACCTTCGTTTTAAAAATGATAGCATACCGGCTATCAATGAGAATAGTGTCTGGGGTTTTAAAGGTTGGTATTCAAACAAGCAGCCATCTAAGCGAGGTGTCAACTAAGGCCACATGGAGGAAGCACACCCGCTCGTGTGATCCAAAGATGACAATGACACAATTCAAGGATGATGAAGGGAAAAGTAGCAGAGCTAAAACTTCGAACAATTGGTAAGGCTATGGAGGACCCTGGGAGCCCAAACTCCATCTGCAGAGTATTTATTCAGACGGAGGCTCTGGCAGATCCCCAGGAGCCACAGGCATGGGTCTCGAACAGCCTTCCTATCCAACAGAGATCATTGCTATCTTGATCATGCTGGATTGAACTTGATCCTTGATCAGTTGACCTCCCTATTGACTCAACCTGAATTTATCTTAAGTGAAAATATCTCTTGTGTGTTTCATGACAAAACTTTCTTCCCTGGCTTTTCAAATATTGATGGTGGTCTTCTCTTCCTTACTCATTGTTTGTATTTTTATCTTTATATTATTATAATTTTATCCTTACCACTTTATTTCCATTTTTTTTTCTGTTCTATCATTTGGGTTTCCCAGTTTGTGAAGCGCAGGAGTGGATGCATAAAGACAAGAATCAGTGCAAGGGTTTGTAGGGGGTGGTGGGGTGGGAGATGGGAGATAGAGCGGATAAGGGGATTTTAGGAGTAAACAATGAAGATGGGAGGGGGGAGAGAACACTAGAACTGACTGTGATTACAAAACTCATTTTAGAGGTGATTTAACCATGGGGGTTGGGAGGAAGTTGTTCTAAAATTGATTGTGGTAATGACTGTTGAATTCTTCTTAATATGATTGAATGATTGAACTATTGAATTGTATGATATATGGATTCGGTGCCAATAAAACTGTAAATAAAACATCAAAAACAAAAACAAAAACAAGAGGGCCCAGACATTTAAGGCCACATAGCGTGGTCAGTGGTAGAGCTCAAACTGTACCACATGTCTGTCTTCACAACCCGTGATGTTTGCCAAGAAGCCAGTGCTTACTGTGATGGTACCCAGTATCGAATGATACAGGGCCAAGTTACATAAGAGAACTGGAGAGAGAAATGGCATCATTTCGAATAGCTTTATTAAAATGATGCAAACAAATGTTTTGGTCTTTGGCTACTTTTTAATGGACTTGAATTTTAATCTTCCGCTCCTAGATAACCTTGAAACACCTGTGTGCAAATCATTAAAAGTTGGCACACATGGTTTGTCTTCTACCACTCACCTCAAGGTTGGCGTTTGGAACTCAGCCAGTGGCGCTGAGGAAGAAAGGTCTGGCTGCCTGTTTCTGCAAAGATTACAGCATCACCAAACAAGAAAATAACCCTGTGGAACCTTGCACTCTGTCACATCGAGTAGCCAGAAGTTGGAATAGACCCAGTGGCAATAAGTGTTTCCTTTTTCTTGTCCTTTTCTTCTTCGTAGTCAAAGAGGAAAGGAAGGAAAAGTGGTGCAAAACATCCACATTCTGAAGTGTAAAAATTAAAAAAATCCAAGTGACCTAAACTTTTAGAATGTCCTTATGCCTAAAATACTTGTTTAGCAGCGTAATGAAAGAGTGCAGTGAATCCAGGCAATTGATATGGAGGATTTAGGAAAACGCCCTACTCGCTCAGCCTCTCTGACGAAGTCATCAGAGAGAGTCCAGCAGCTTAATTCACATCGAGGCGATTCCATTAACATAAGCATGCACCGTGTTTACAAGTGGACCTCACTGAACTCCTGTTCTAATGTTAACTTCGAAAACTGAAGGACAAGTCACTTACTGAGAGTGACAGAGGTGAGGAGGATGGTATGACACCCAGAGATGGTAAAATGAATGAGCCAGGCTACGATTTGATTCTACTTCTAGCCCTGCCACGAGGGAGAAGGTGAATGACCTAGAACCAATTATTTTACCTCTTTGGGAGGAAGAAGTTTTCACAAACGTAAAATAACTAGGGTTGAACTAAGTTTTCTCCAGGATAAGAAATGAAGCTTCTAAATTGAGTGCTGAAAGAGGGCCAGATATCCCTGGGCATATCTGGTCTTCTGTTTGGGCAAGTCATGGAAAGTCTTGTTTGCGTTGGGAGCTCAGGGGATGGCTGGGCAAGAGCTCAAGTCGTTTAATCACTGGGGTCCTGTCTATAGCCAGTAAAATAGTAGGTGGCCAAACAGAAGTCCAGTTACTAGAGGCTAAGGGGTTTGCTGAGCAAATACATATCCCACACACTAGAGGTGAGTTGTCCAAGGTGCCCCGGGGGCAGAGTCTCTGTTGTCCCAGAGAAGAGGTGGCTGTGCTGTGTCCCATCCATGGGGACATGGGTGGGGGTGGGGGTGGGGGGCTGTAGTTAAATCTAACGGAGCTACTTCATTCAGCTCTGTACATTACCCTGCCCTTTAACAGACTCCTAGGAGCACCAACAGGGAGCCCATGTCCTAGTAGTTAGCTAGAGCTCAAATCTGCTTCCTCCGCGCTATGCAGCCTTGGGCTAATGACTTACTAGTTTGACCCTCAGTTTTTCCTCTTGTCAGATAAGAATGATAATGTATTATTCCTCTGAGCTTAATGTGCTATCCTCCAAAGTTTCTTGAGATCATTACATGTAAGAATGCTGAGGCAGCATTCCTGCCCGGCCTGGGCAATGACAATGGTTCAACAGGTGCTACTATTACTGCTCCCACCGCCAAGATGGAGGAACGTTGTCATGAAGCAAAAAGCCACTTGCTTGTTCCAAGTCAAGGGTGACCCCTGGTTGTTAAAGTCGAGTTGTACTCCCTAGGGTTTTCAGTGGCGGGTTTTTCCAAAGTAGCTCACCAAGGCTTTCTTGCAAGGTGTCTCTGGATGGACTCTGATTTTTCAGTTATCAGCGAAGGGTATTGGGCTTTTGCCACCACCCAGGGACTCCCATTCTCATGCACTGCCGTGGAATCGGTGCCGACTCATAGCTGCCCTATAAGACCAGGCGACCTGGCCCTGTGGGTTTCTGAGCCGGTAACTCTTTGTGGGGGTGGGAGTTGCCATCAGAGTGATGCTGAAGAGGAGACAGCCATTTCCCACCCTGTGGTCTCATCCTAGGCAACTCACACAGACGAGTCATGATAGTTGTGGTAGGAGCGCAATTAGAGGCAGCAAGCCAACTTCAAAATAAAGAATAAGGTTAAAGAATATTGACTTCCAAAATAACCCAAAGAAATCATGGAATTAAGTATCCCAGGAGAGACATGTTAACATTTTTGACATAACATTGAGCACAGGGTCAGGCTGTGAGGTTACATGGCCTCTGATCTCTCCCAGACACGGAAAAGAAAAACCACGCAAAGCATGGCAAGTCCAAAATGTGACCGTCTGCCTAGGCATTATGTTGTCCATTTCTTATCATCTCAATGGGGCTGCTAAACGGTATTGTCAAATCGGACCCTAATATAAATGAGCAGATACTGTACAAGGACACTGGACTAGACCAACCAAACAGCAGAGGCCAAGTTCAAATTGCATGACTGCACTACATCCCAAACAACCTTCGCATAACCTACCTGGCTTCCCAGAGATGTTTAAATTTAAAGAGAGTTCTACCATCTTTCATTGTCACGTCTCTAAATTGAAAGAACCCGCCACCACTTGCGGGCCAGGGTGAGGATTCAGTCCCGTGAAACATATGCGAGAATATAGAGAAACCCAAAGCATCACTCCGATGTTGGTTATTGATCTTAAAATTCTTTGAGAGATTTCTTGTTACAAGTTCTTGTCTGGGATGTTTTCAAGTAAAACCACTAGAGGTCAGAATTTCACATAAATTGTTTTTTAAAGAACAGGAAAGGAGAGAAATTTTTTTTCCTACTAAGCAGCATGAGGCAATAAATTGACCCTCCACAAAGAACAATAAAGATGGCTTTCAACAAAGAAGTTTTCATAACTGTAATTCTCTGAATTGTTACTCGGTAGACGCAGATATATAGAAGAGGAAAGATACTATTCAATATCTATTGAGATGCCTGCATAGCTTATAGCTTATACTGATTACATGTAAACAAACCTATAAAAGTCCATTTTATAAACAAGGAACTTGAGGCATAAATAAGTATAATAATATTCTGAAGATGTTACCGATTACATCCAATGTCTGTTTCCTTCCATGATGACTCGCTATGGAAATAACTAATACCGTGAAACTGGAACGTGAACCAGGGACAGCAGATGATACAACTGGTCAACACGACTGCTTTTTCACGTGCCACTCTTAATTGTATATCTTATTTACTTATTTCCAGTTTCAGATATCAACTGAGGGGAAATTTTCCCCGTACCTTTTTCAAACGATCTGGAAGTTTCTGAGTGCAGCAGTGCTATCAAATATAGTACTGAGATGCTTCAACATAAAGAAAATAAGAGAGACCGATTCCACTTGGTCTTAGGAAAAGTTTGTTGAACAGAAATAATAATTCAGTTCTTTAAAATCGTTACGTAGGTACTAAACTTTTGTAGAACTAAACAAATACGAGTATGCTTTGTTTGGGGTGGGGGTGGGGTGCATGTCATCTTATTCACAAGGGAATAGAGTAAGTTGGATGAAACCTCGAGTCCCTGGGTGGTACAGCAGTTCATGTGTTTGCATTCTCGCTGAAAGATTGGAGGTTTGAGTCCACCCAGAAGCACCTAAGGAAGGAAGACTTAGCGACCTACTTTTGGCCTATCAGCCACTGACATTCCTACAGAGATCAGTTCTACTTGCACACTCTTGCAGTTGCCTCGAGTCAATGCTAACTTGATGACAACTGCGCTGAGATCGACATCTTGGCAGAAGGTGCCGTATTTTGTTATTTGGTGTTCTCACCGGGTCTGCAGCAGAGGAAGGACATGTGTAGGTAGGCAATTAGTAAAGAAAACCAATAACAATAAACCAACAAGAGAGTTCACTGGGCCCTGATCCTCAGGAATCCGCAATTAATACTAAGCCTTCAAGGCAGACACACGATTGAGGACAAGGGCTTTATTTTCCTTGGTTTCATATCCTTAACCTCTAACATGATGCTTGGGACTTAGTACAGGTTTACAATATTCCAGAATCATGAAATGTTCATAGAAGAAGGAAACTCATCATTGGTTTGACCCAAAGTCTCCAGGTTTTGTGTGAAGAACTGAAGGTCACACTGGGTTCCATTATAGACTTAGTTCTCAAACACCAAGTTCTAGAGCACCCCTTCCCACAGGCCTCTACCCCGGGACTGCTCATGTCTTCTTTCTGTTATACGTCTGACTTGCAATCGTGTCGTAATTTCCACAAAGACCCAGGAAGAGGGATGAGGAGGTTCCAATGGTCACAACGTTTAGCAGGAGCCGGGTTACCTCCGCGAAAACCTCATGGGGGTACCTCACTGGTATTCTAGAAATGTTTAGTACACAGTGATAAAATGAGATAAAGTGGTTTTGAAAACAACCTTTAAAAGCACGTATCTTCCTTGATTCCTGGAAGGATTTAAGATTTTTATCTGTACTTTCTAAATTCTCTAAAGCAAGGATTAATGGGGTGATTTTTTTCCCCTCTGAACACATTCTTCAGATTTCTTCTTCTCGTGTCTAATGACTCTACTCATTCCCCCACAGGCCTTTCCCTCCCCCATGCCATTTGCCTAAGAGAATCGCACTGAAACCGAATCCCCTTCCCAGGAAATCTCCCTGCACTCCCTGCTCTCTACGAAGTTGGCTCTCTCTCCACTGCCCTGTGCACGGATGCATGTACTTTTTGTGTGTTGTTGTGTTGCAGTGTATCTCCTACATGTCTCACTCTCTTGTGCCTCGAGTTCTTGTACCTCTAGAGCCTAAAATGGTGCTTGGCATTTCATAGGTGCTCACTAAGTTGGTTGAATTGGAAGGGATGTAATTATTGAAGTAGAATGCATGGCATTTGGGGCCTTACTTTTCCCCCAAGCTTGAAAGTTGCCATTTTTATGCAAGGAAAAGTATCTAACAGTGGCATTCTCAAATGGATTCTCCCATCCACAGTGACAAAGAAACATACATTTCAAGACCTCTCCCCTCTCATACCTCCCCATTCCTCCAACACTCCAAGGACCTTTGCGTTTCCTGTACTCTCAGAAAGTCCAGTTACAGTTTTAAGTAAATACTTTACTTCTAATCAAAACTTTCTTTTCTGAACATTTGCCCTTAGATTATTCATTTATTCACCCAAGAAATTATTTGGAAGCCCTGAGGTCTCATTGTTCCTCCTTGCATTTATTTTATGGTATCAAAGGTTAAAACTCGGATTGCAATCTTAGGAGGAAATTAATTCACTGATTTAAAAAAAATGCACTTTAAGCAATACACATTTAAATAACTGACATACATGGGGCGAGGTGTTTCTGATGTTTTTTGGAAAGACCCTTTTCTCTACTTAACAATTTAAGCAGTTTCAATCTTTCCACCCCATAGCCTGGAGAAACAGCATGAATTACTAATAAGGGCACACCAATCTGCACTGCAGTGGCCACTTTCAGAACAAAAGGGTAAGGGCTGAACTAAGAAATACAACGGTCTCTTTTCTAATCAACCAGTTGCTTGAAGCAGACTTAGACCTTGGCTCTACTTGAAAAAAAAAGCAATATTTTATCATCCTTCAGCTGAAGGCACTTGGCCCAAAAGACTCCAGTCACAAATAAAGAAATATTCATTAATATACTACCTCTAGCCCTCAACAAAAATTTCCCAACATCTTCATTGGCAGTCAGGAGCCCATTATGTTATGAAACATAACAAAGATTTAATTTTTACCCTGCTAACCTGTCACTGAATAGCTTTACCAGAATCAGTAAGAGAAAGGAGTTGGAATACAAATAGCTCAAGAATAGAGATCCCTTTAAAGAAAGACATCTAAAGACTAAAGCCTTCATTGTGTGTCTTCCCTAGTGTGGTACAGAAGAGGGTCTATCCCCTGCCCTAGGTGGGTTGCCTCCTACCCCTGCCCAGATACCATCCCAGACCAACGTTCTCTGATTGAACACCGGGAAAAGCTTTAAATAATCAACAAGCCATTGTCTTTTCCAACTGGAAGGAAAACGGGAGAAGGCTATAGAGGAGAAGAGAGAGACTAAGGTGGGGCTGCGGGTTGAGAGAAAAGAGCAGACGAATTATAGGTAGAAATCTTAGATCTCCTTTCTCACCTTTGGCTCCTGGTGAAATGGTGTGTGTAGCACAGACATCAGCAGTAGAGTGACTGTCGATGGCCAGGCCCAGATGCTGAATGTGCGAAAGAAGAAGCAGTAGGAGGATGAACTGGTTTCTTCGAAAGAGAGCTTCAAAGCCACCCATTGCTGTGGTTTCCTTCAAAAAGGGTCACCCAGAAGTGCCGAAGAAACAGCTTTATTTTAAATAAAACCTTCTACTTGGGGTGGGGGTGTGGGGGGAGAAAGTGAAGTATTTGGAGCAAGTGGACTGCAAAGACGAGGAGGAAGTGTGTCCTAGGTTGTTTATTTTCCCAGTCCTCCAAATGCACTGAACACTAACCAGACTGTTTACGTTCAAATGACAGGAGTTTATTGTAAATTATCTCGAGTTAAGCAGTCAAGTGTGCAGGTCAATAGACACGTCCCCAAGAGCAGAGCACAGGGCTGCTTTCTACGCAGGCCTTGAGCTGACAACCTCATAGCTTACCCTGCATTGAACTGCTGAGTCCAAGGAAGGTCATGGGTCAGCTTTAACAACCTGTTCTGTGAAAAGTATAGACATGGCGCTGAGCCTTTTCCCCAAGGAAATACTCATGCCCGCTTGGTGGTGGGTAGACACTAATGCTAACCCTTGGCTCTACCTGAGCCTTATTTCCTTCTCTTCCTCCACACAAGTGTCTTGGGATTAAACTCACAGGGAAAGTGTGAGAGCATCTTTGCAAAGCGATTTGGCAGTAAAGTGTCAAGAATATTAAAACTGTTTATAGCCTTTGGCCTCCTAATTGCCTGGTTGGAACACCCTCTTAAGGGAATGTTCTGAAATGTGGTAAAGCTTTGTTTGAAAATAGGTGGCTTAAGGGGAAACAGACATCCATTGACTAGGAGTGTATTCATGGTGGGCAAAGTATGGTAAATATGAACAAGTGAGAGAGTAAAACAAGACAAGTTGATTAAGATGATGTGTGTAGCAAGTTTCTGATAAAATGGGGGAAACCTTGTGAGAGTATATTTCTAAAAACGCAAGAGAAGTCTAGATATATAGCGACACATCTCTCTTCTCATCTGTCTCTTTCATCATTCTGCCTCATCTACTCATAACCTGAAAGCCCAGCTAGCCTTAGGAAGAGAATAAGGATCTAGACCCAGAATCACATCCCTTACTATCCCATTGTTGAAAGAAGCTGCTCAGTAAGTGGTGGGATAGTAGGGGTTTGGGACCTAGTTTCCTAGAAATTGGAAGAGAAAGGCTTTACAGAACCCTAACCGAAATTGGAAGAGAAAGGCTTTACAGAACCCTAACACTTGACACAGGCTTAATGTAGGGAGATAGCCAACAACACAGATGGCTGGTGCCATGTGACTGCTACAGCTGTTTGGGGAAGGAGTCTGGCTCTTTCCTTGTCCTAATCCTATGTCCCAGCATCCCTCAACTGGTAGTCTGTTCTGGGTGGGACAGTGCATCTCATAAATACTGATGAGAAGTTATCTCTATACTTTTACAAGTAATGGGAAAAGCAAGAAATAGAGACTTATACAAGGGAACTT